TGAATTCATGTGACTTGTTAATAGTGTATATATTCAGTTCAGCTCATGATGTCATGCTGCAACACTTGTACTTGTACTTATGGCTAATGAACAACTGATCTCATTATCATGGAATAATTATTCATACGAAAATTCATAATGAATCATAACCACTACAAGCGACATATTTGGTTTCAGATATTATGAAAATATAAATATAGAATATTAGTTTCATAATGTATCAGTAATGGCTTAGAGAATGACTCAAGTCAAAAGTAGTAAAACTCATCTCACAGACATATACTATTGAAAAAGTTATAAGTTACGACTGCACAATTTCACATATGTTCAAGATAAATCCTAGCCTTAGGTATCAAGGACTCAACTGTTAGACAAACCTTTCATTAAGACAAAAGTTATGTCTGGACGGTTTAATAAACTGTTTTGATAAAGTTAACATGTCATCATCTATATTACAATAACACTAAGCAAACACCAATTCAGGGCCATTAAGACATGGCCCAGAGTAAGCGCATCTATTGTATTCCAAGCATCCTATTGTAATACCGTAAGCATCCAAGTACACAGTAAATGTGCTTACAAAATTAGGATTAGCAGGATTAAGTACTCCCCCTGTCTGGTCATTACAGTAGGTACTGTAGAACACACCCCATTCTGTATTTCATTGGTTGTTGTAGGGCACACCCATTTTGTATCAGTCAACCAATCGTAATCTCTATATTGTTTTAATTGTAGATAAATGGTTTGAAAATCAAATGTTTGTCAGTAGGGTTTAGACTCTCCAAAGACACTTTAGCTCTAGCCCTGAGCCCAAAGGGTTGTACCGACTCTCTGTGGCCACCCCATGTTATTCCATTCTTGTAAATAAACTTGTGATGAGCTTCTTGTGACTTCGCACTCTTTGCTGAGCAAATTCCCCCAAGCAGACCAGCACGCGAGTAAGATAAGGGGTTTCACCGGAACCCTCGCTGGGACCCAAGACCCCTATCATAATATCATATACAGCATTATGACTGTAGTATGTCTGGTACACAAGATCACTGTGAAGGCAAACGTGTGACACCTCAATAGAGCTCATATTGATAAAAAGCAAACCCCTCTGTATATTTGGGGCGGTGGGGTAGCCTAGTGGTTAAAGCGTTCGCTCGTCACACAGAAGACCCGGGTTCGAATCCCCACATGGGTACATTGTGTGAAGCTCATTTCTGGTGTCCCCCACCGTGATATTGCTGGAATATTGCTAAAAGCGGCGTAAAACCAAACTCACTCACTCTGTATATTTGCTGTTTCATGCACAGCCTGATGCCAACATTGGAGGCAAAAACTGGAACACTACGATGACTTTATATGTGCCCTTGCTGATATTTAACATCCCCTTTCAGGAGTTCCTGACCTAGATATACTTGTAATTCCTGAATTTGCATCTGCTACATGACATATATTTGTTCATATGTAAGTGTGTGTAAAACAACGTTTTTTACACAGAATGTATGTCTGACATACAAATTATGCAAGATTATCATTTTACAACCAATTCCACAGATGTTTTAACGTGATGGTGAAATTCTCCTTTTCATTTTTCCCCTTGATCTTGGTGAGACTCACAGAGTTTATGCATTGAGGTGTAGAATATGTGAGTTTATACATTCTGCTAGGGTCCATTCATAAATTATGGCTAGGAGGTGTGAGGATGATTTTTATAGAGAAGCATGTACAATGTGAATGGAACCCCCACCCCACCCAAAAATGACGTGCAAACTAAGTCCCCCTGCATATCATGTACAAAATAAATGATCACCCCTCCCTTCTTTCCCCTTAATTTTTAAGCTTGTCTTAATATTTGTAAGTACAAAATTGCTAAACGCCCCACTACACACACCACACACACACTTCTCTCTCCCCCACCCCCCCCACACACCCAGTTCATTTGTACAAAATTACTGAACCTCCTACCTCCCTCCCCAGAACAACACCGGCACAGTTCTGTTGCCCAAACACTGAATGTTTGTAAAGCTGTCATAAACAGAATCTAGGCTGTAGGATTGTTGACTGCGTGATTGCCATGTATTCTGACAAGTAAATGTACAGTCTGAACTTTTGTGACAGAATGAGTCGAGTTTACAGACATGACAATGAGTGTTTTAAGGATGTTCATATCACACAGCAAGACTGTTTTCGGGTTTTGTACATTATTGTACTGGGTGGTCACGCAAGGTATGTTTGAATCATTTGGGACAATTAGTGTCATTAAAGGACAAGTACAATCATTACTGGTACCTCCCCACAAGCATTTCCTACAGCCCCTGTACAACAAAACTACTTTTACAAGTAAGGTAACTGCTGTTGTAATGAACATTACCAAAGCACTGGCATTAAGCGGTACATACAAAAACATTGTTTCACGATATAATACTAACAACAATGATATTAATAATATATATACTAAGCAAGAAAAGAAACTTCACTTGTGTTAGTTTATGTGCCATACTCACTCTCATAGAAGAAAGTGTGCCGCTAGTGTTTTGTTTTGTTTGTTGTTGTGGGTTTTTTTTGGGGGGGGGGGAGAAAGGATTTTTCCTACGGTGGTATTTGTTCTGTATGAAACAAATCCTGTGGCTATCTAGAAGCAGTTATCATGTGTGAAAGTTCCTTACAAAAGGACTCAATACAGTATTGTCATCAGTGGCATCATTTGTCTTTATTGTGGGCATTGGTTTTATCTTTTGTTAATGCATACGTGTGTAGTTAATCTTAATGAAAATACTCATAAATGCTACTCTGTCTCTTTTTATCACAACACTTACTTCTTGGTCTGCTATTTTCTATGGTCATTATGGAAATAGACTCCCCAGAATCTGAACTGATGATTCTAAATGAATCTTGTGTTAAAAAGAGTTCACTTTCGCTTACGTCTGCTGAATGTAGTTTAAAAGAGGTTTCAACCACATTGCAGTTTCCATCCATCTGCTCACCTTCACTAGTTTCTGAAACATCAACCATGTCATTCTCTTCCTGTGAGCAATGTTTGACTAGAACAACTTCACTGTTCTAATTCTTGTCATTTTGAGGACTACATGTTGCTCCTGGCTCTTGATATTTGTTGATATTCATTTGTTTGTATGTGTTGATAAAACCACCTTCCATAGAGCTAACTTGATACATGTCCTCTCGGGGTTTTCCTAATATCATGTAGGGTCCAAATCATGTCACTTTAATAAGTCCTTTTTGTCTCTTTCACGATTTCATCATCTTTTTGTCACCTACTGTAAACTTTTGTGCTTTTAATTTGATTTTCACCTAGATCTAACATGATTCACGTGTATTTCGGGCTAGAGAAATCCCGGATGTTGACATTGTTGGACGAGTCCATTTTGCATTCAATTATGACTGTAATAGGTTAGGCCTACGGTATTTGTTCCTGTTCGATGGAATATTTGCCGTGTGTGCGGAATTTTTATTCATGTCATCCGTTCTCTATTTCATGCATTTATTCTGAAACGGAACATTTACTACTCAGAACTAAATCATGTTTACAGAAGTGCCACAAAGGAGATGTGTTGGGACATGGCGGCATCTCGGTGCACAATTGCGCCTGTGGCCCCAAAATGACTGGATTCCTGAGAACTGCACATCAACCGACTTACCCACGTACTTGAGGACGAAATGGAAATATATGAAGACTGGAGGCGGTCATTATCAACCAAGATCCGAGGGTCATTTGACCTGTCAAAGCAATTTAACCAATACCTCGGCCCAGCCAACAGGACGGCAACCCTGAGGGAGGGGGATGAGGACGTTGAAGGTGATTCACCTATGGTTAGTATCTAAATGTGAGTGCCTAACCAGAATAAAGATTGTTTTATTCCAAGAGCAGTTTTGAGTTTTGAGCAGCTTGAACAAGAGTGAAATAAGCTAGGCCTACAGTGCCTGTGCTGGTTTTCAACATCACACTGAAAAACGTAATACCAATTGAAACACTATGACATAATTATACTTGCACTATTTATTTCTCCATTTCCAACTTACATCTTTTCAGTGGCACACTCTTGGTGGTTTCAATGTACTCTCTATCGCCCGACTGGGTGGAAAGACTGGTGCCGTTACTTGCAAGGGCAAAACAGATGGATCTCCTAAACCAGGCACAGTTGGCTATTTTCAACTATTACGTCAGAGTGCGGGGCAAGGGTGGAAGTCTGTGCATGGATATGTGTCGAGACATGGCCTCCCTGGGAGCCCAGTTGTGACTCTGGCCCCCAACCAACTGGACTCCCCATAACTGCACGTCGGCAGATGGAAGAACATGAAGACGGTAGACAGGAGGAGGTCCATGGACCTGGCTAAAGCATACCTCCAAGAGAGCCCCGTGGCTCAGGCCCCAGCTGAAATGGCAAAGAAATTACCATGGTATACCATGGTATACCATGGTCCACAGACCATGGTGCACCATGGTTTACCATGGCTTACCACATCCGGTAAATGGCACCACGGTTTAGCATGGTAAATTTGAACATGGTATACCATGGCCAAATATACCATGGCCTACCATGGTCAAATAGACCATGATAGACCATGGTAGACCATGGTCAAATAAACCATGGTAGCCCATGGTCTACCATGGTATACCATGGTCAAATATACCATGGTAGACCATGGCCGCGGTAAATGGCACCACGGATTAGCATGGTAAAATTGAACATGGTAGACCATGGCCAAATATACCATGGTAGGCCATGGTCTACCATGGTCTACCATGGTCAAATATACCATGGTAAACCATGGCCGAGGTAAATGGCACCACTGATTAGCATGGTAAAATTGAACATGGTATACCATGGCCAAATATGCCATGGTCTACCATGGTCATATTGATTATAATTTAGGTTACCTTGCCATTCTGTGGTACCAACTACCTGACATAGTATACAATGGCCAATAGATTATGGCATACCATAGTACTCCATGTTTAACACAGTTAATTAAAAGAAAATGGTGCAGCTGAATGCCATGTCAATAACCAGTTGACATAATGTTGACTAGCTGGCATGCAGCATATATATTCATCACACATAGATGTAAAATATATCAAAGATCTAGTAACAAAGAACACATTAAAAGAAATCTAGATTTGGATGTGATTTCCTTTTTATTAAACTTGTCATCAGAAAAATATATAAAAGTCATTTAAATGGCTTTGCTTATTTTCCTACTGTCTAAAGCTGAGTGAGAGATGTGTAAAGGTGCCATCGGCCCGTTATACACATACATGTCAGAAGGATCCAAAATATGACATGAAGCGCCATAAAAGTGACAGAATGAACATAGAGGTATAATTGTACAGAGTTGTGAACACAAGATCAGCAGGATGCAAAATATTTCATTTTTTTTGGTAGCTAAAAATATATTCTTGTCTTGACTTATTAACGTGGTCCATCCAGTATTTCACAATCTTATAGTAGATATTAACCTTCAAAGAATAGCGACCTATTTCACCACATACAATGATGTTCGGAGTAGTAATAGATGGTGAAGTATTTGCTTCCAAAACTTGTCATGAATATTTTGAACATTTTGGTGAGGAATGAAAACCCCAAATTTCAGAACCATACATCTAGATTGGAAGAATTTTAACATCAAATATATGTAATAAGACATTCAGTGGTAAATTTGTAAAGGTTTTCATAGAGGACCTAACAATAGACAGTACTTTCCAGGATTGTTCTGCTAAGTTTTTTCATCATCAAACAGCAGAATAAACAGTTCAATAAAATCTAAATCGATACACCTCTGATTATCAGCAGACAAATATTCAAGTAGGTCATTGGTAAATAAAGAGAACAAAAATGGAGATAGTTGACATCCTTGGCGTTCATTCATTCATTCATTCACTCACTTATACCCTTGGAAACTTCAGAGATTTTGTTTTTTTCAACATTTTTTGAATAACATGAATTTTGGCTGTTATGTCAGAATCACTTATTGAAGGAAATTTGTCTTTCAATACTTTCACAAGGGCCCCATATAATCTCGAATCAAACTGGGGTTTGGCCACTGTTTTTGCATTGGATGCCCTGCCTGAAACACTGTGGCTCAAGATATATGATTGGTCGAAAAGCTGAAATAAAACAATTTTGGTGGCCTGCAAAAGTTTATCACACACTGATACTGAGTCTCTAAGGTTATCAATGGTGTGGCCATTATAAAGAATAGACGGTGATGGTGATGGAGAGTCAGATGTTGGGGCATGATCAAGGGCAGATCCAAGGAGAGCGAAGTCCATAGGCTGAGACAGAGGCTGCTGCTGGTGAGTTGTTGATGGTGGAGGCTGCAGCTGGTGTGTTGTTGATGGTGGAGGCTGCACTGTAGTTTGGTATGGTCTTTTTGCTGATGACCTCTTCTTCATGTTTGCAACAACCCCTTGCAGCTGCCTGACATCATTTAAAAGTTTGTCAAACTCTGCACCAGTAACAAACCTACAAAAGAAAACACAAACCTCTAGCAAACCTTAAAGCAAAAGTTATAGAAGAATAATAGCTTTGTCCTCATTAATTGGTATTTTATGTAACACACATGACAGAATGGAGAAGACAATTTAAGAAAGATGTCTAATATACATGACACTTCAAAATTCTGTACATGTGGCCCTTTACCGGAAATAGTTCAGTAGTGTAAATAAGGCCTTTTTTTATTACTTGGTTTACGGATCTGGCGACCCGAAATGTGAAGAAAGTGGAATAAATAATTATTGTTTTTTCATACTAGTATTTTTGGGGCCCTTATATTCTGTCAACATGATAATGAAACAAAGAAAGTGAAAAAAAATAATTTCTTTTAGCAAATTATACCTTTCAATTCCCTGAAACTTTTTTATATTTTACAAAAGACAATCACTTTAGACAATCACTCAAATCGTCAGAACTCATAACACTTAACACCAGTGTGCAAATAACATCTCCATATTCCCCTTTTTTCTCCCTACCTATCTAATAATAAAAATGAAATAAAATTGGTAAGCTAAGTAATTTAAAAAGGGCATAACTATGTACAGAGCTACAGATAACTTTTTGAGTCATAGAGTTATGTACTCGCTCGTGTTCATCTGAATTAGGTATCCTTATTTTCCTTCGAGTAACCAAAGAATTTGTACCCACCTGATTCAAACTCATTTGGGTTTATGCTATTTTCCATTAATTGTAAAAAGATAATTAAGTTTAAATGTTTGATCTGTAATTTAAGAAACCATAAGAAAGACTGAATTTAGCCTTGTTCAAGAAATAGGACCTCTTAATATACCTTAATTATTTTTTCTATCCTCAGGAACACCCGAGCTAAGATTTGACAGTGTTGGGTGTATGCTGACTGACTGGCTGAGTTTGGTTTTACGCCGCTTTTAGTAATATTCCCGCAACATCACGGCAGGGGATACCAGAAATGGGCTTCACACATTGTACCCATGTGGGGATTCGAACCCGGGTCTTCGGCGTGACGAGCCAACGCTTTAACCACTTGGCTACCCCACCGCCCCCTGTGTGTATGCATGTAAGATCAAATTTATTGAGTATTTACAAATTTTCAAGCGTACTTGTATGCAACAGACATAATAGGAATTGTGTTTTCACTTAAATATTTGCGTAATTTACACATATACGCAGGTTATCTGTACCTCTGTAAGTAATAGTTCAAATATGTCTCAAAAATTAAAAATCACCTCCAAGATAAATAAGGAACTTACTGGTCTTGTGGCTGGTCGAACCCTGATGATGTGGGGCCTTGAGCATTGTTTGGCTTTTCCCTTGTTAAAAGGAAGAGAGATAAAGAGAAAGACTTAGTTCCACCATTCAAATGTTCTTGCAATTTAAGACCCAGGCTTATAAGGAAAGATTACCCCTTTGGTAATCAATCATAATACCATAATTTAGCCCAGGGCTTGAATTTGGAAACTGCACATATTTAATGGAGAAGGCAACTTAATAATTACGATTCACTTTTAATGTTAGCGGTTTTATGCTGCTTTTAGCAATATTACAGCAATATCACAGAAGTATACACCAGAAATTGGCTTCTCCACCGCTACAAATTTTGGAGGAGGGCTGAACAGTAAACAAGAATGCTTAGTTTTCAAACACTCAAAATGCATTGTTTTAAGTCATCAGAAATATCCATCATATGTTTCAACTGGAATAGTCTCGAACGAATAAATGAGTTTTAAAGCAAGTATGGAATGCATTGGCTTGTTTAACTAACATTCTCAAAAGTCAGAAGATTGATCACTTTCATAAAGTTCTGCAATATGTCTGCGTAAAATATTTTCCACATACTTTAAACATTTTGCTGTAAAACATTTCACTGATAAAAACTTACATGGACAGCATGGCATCTTCTTCTGCTGCTGGACTGGTTTTCTTAGCTGGGGTATCTTGGATGGCATTATCATCAGAGTTTTCTTCTGTTATCTTGCATGCATTAAACCTTGAAAAGAAAATCTGTTTCATTAATACACACCGGATAAACAACTTTTTCCGTGACATGGACACTAATATGTCTTTTGTAGTGTAAACATATTACTTTATATTTATTATGACTCATATCTTTTATGATATAGAACTGAAAAAGGAAGGTTTATGTGCACTTAATTATTTACCAGACTTTTCCCAGGACAGAATTATGAACAAAATCTGTCATTTTGGCTCTTATGTTTTTGTTAAATGATATTAACTTTATGCAGTAAGCAAAGTATAGCGTATGGGTTCATTAATTATAATGTATACAACGCTCCAGTTTAAAAAAGGATGTAACTGGTGTCACTTACGGCACACATCTAAACTTCTTCAATGCCTTAATTGCCATGTTACTCTGTACTGCATCAGCAGGTCTCTTCTGCACTTCTTGAAGAATAAAGGAAAAAAAGTCAATAAATCACTGTGTCAGTTACATCACATATTAATATGTGAGAAAGTGTCAAAGTTAAAGATTGTGATTGACTTGTAAATAACACTTGCACTGGTGTATATTTCCTGATTAAATAATTCTGTAATTATTGTATTTATAACGAGGAATTATCTAAGATTACTATGGAGTGTAATATTTCCTACCTCTTTGTTTCACTTGAGTGTCTTCCTCATTCTCTGATGAAGCAACAACATTCTTCCCTGTGGATAATGAAAGAAGGTAAAAACAGAAGTTGCAAATTTGAACCAGTGTGAACCATAAGTGTCCAATTTCACTTATACGTTGATTTATTTGCTATTACTGCAGACAGTAAGTACCAGAATCTTTAAGGAAACAAAACATGATCAATTGACCCTGAGATAATTTCAGTTTTAAGACTGCATAGGAATTGAGTTAGGTAATGGAGGTGTTTACTTACCATCTGTGTGTTCAGCATGTTTTGTGCTCTGCTGTTTTTCAGATGCTTCACCTGTCAGTAGCAATGACATTTAAATATAATTTGTAATAGTAATGATATAATGTTGTTAAGCTGTAAACTCTTTTTGACTGACAATAATTACATCAGTTTGATTATTTCAGAATTTTCTCGATTGCAGTATACCATCCAATGAAAAACATGTCTTGACAATTTAGAAATCTAGGAAAACATCTGTCTTAACACTGGTATAATATGTACAAGTTGAGTTGAGTTGGGTTTTAAGTCACATCGGCATTATTTCAGCCATATAGAGTGAGTGAGTGAGTGACTTTGGTTTTATGCCGCTTTTAGCAATATTCCAGCAATATCACAGCGGGGGACACCACAAGTGGGCTTCACACATCCATATAGAGACAAGATCAAGTCTGAATTCATAAACATTTTACGTCCAAAGTCCAAATGAGTTTTACTTTAAAAGCATGTATATTCACTGCATTGTTATTTAAAAACAGAAAAAGTCATTGCACTAAATTCAAATGCACACATTTTGTTATTCACATTACATAGAACAATTAATGATACAATATGTACAATGTTATTAATGTTATAAATTAAATAAGTGAACTTAAAACACAGATTTTCACTTACGTCTTGGTGGAATTGGTCTTGTTCCACTTTTTGCTACACTCCTCAGCCATTTTCGGTCCTCTGAATTTATACAAGATAAATGCCACAGATTAAACAGGAACATTTTATAAGTTAACCAAATATGTTCAACATACAATTTCCATCAACATGTTAGTCCCAAATAACTATGCAGTTACATTTTCTGAAGTGTTTATTTAAGATCTACCAAGAACTAAGAGAAGTTTGTAACTACCCATATAAGTATTTAGTGAAACAGTTTTGACATTATTTTGTTAATGTTATGAAGGAACCGACCTTGTGATGGTGTGTCCTACGTTGGTGTCTACTGAGATCATATATTAGAAATTATTATTTCAAGATAGAATTTACTCTTAAATTATGTTTTAATAGATCAAGTTAGTGGCTGAATATTTTCATGTTTACGTAATCTGAAAATTATTTGAAAAAGATATTTTTACTGGAATATCACAATATAGTAATGCACGACCATCTATCTCGCCATAACAGTGTCGATCAGTAGCTTTTCGCTCGATTATATTACATGAGACTACATCGGGAAATAACTCGATCAGCTGATCAGCTTCGAAGCTTTGCACGAATAACCCGCGAGATTCGTTTGATGATGGGTTTCCTTTGAATGTTGTGAACATCAATAATATGTTAGCGTTGCCTTTTCATGAGTATTTTTGCAGTTGTAACAAGCGAATTTAGTGGATAATGTGCGGTTTCTAATGACGCTATATTGTTTGCAGCAACCCGCTATAAGGACCGTGATTGGTCAAAAACATGCACGTGACATAAGGCAGCCAATCGTATTACAGCAATGGATACCAACTCAGACTACTGTAACGTGTAGATTTTGAAGAAGGGTTTTCGGTTAAATCGTGTTATTCTGAGCGATTAAAGCAGAAACTCCGTACATATACTTAAAATATGGAACACTGTCGACATATCATACCAGGTTGCAACCCGTGACAAAAATACATCATGCAAATACTTTAGCATTAGAACATCGTGTCCGAGCGAAAAGCCGAGATGTCATTTGACCCGTCTCTGATTTCCCCGATATTACACGATCGTACCTTACATGTAACTTTGGCAACTTTTATTACGGCCCTTTATTACTAATTCTGTTCGTTGTAATTATTTATTTCTATAAAAAAAACTGCTTGAAACGTGTATTGTTGTTTTGCTGTGTCAGACTCGCCATTTCATTGCTTACGTCACAGTTTGTGTGTCACGTGATGCTCAATACTATTTCGAGGGCCATCTTGACCAGATAAAAAACCTGATACTGTGATGTCAATAACGGGATTTAATTGTTATATCCAGCTATTGTTTATAATGAACTCACTCTTTTACTTTATATAGCACCTGAAACTATAAGATTGAGAGTCATATTGTCCGGATACAACAGGACCTGCGAATGGGAGCTAACTTCAAACATCGCGTGTTTGTTTCAAATCAATACATGCCGCACCCGTTGATGCCTGTGAGGAGCTTAGAATTAGTCGTTTATCCAGTTTAATTGGTGAATCGGGGCAACAGATAAATGAAAGCATAGCATTGATTTAGCAGTGATATTCGAACTATTTTAGATCTATGCGTTAAAACTTCTTTTTTTGTCTCGGTCATTATCCATTATTGACTTTGTATTTAACAAAACTTGTCACCAAACCAAGGTCGTTATGTTTGCTGTTTAATGCCGTACTCGATCAGCACTTTCCCAGCTATATATTGATAGCAGTCTGCACATTTTCTCGTCTACAGAAGACGGCCCGGTGATTGACATAATGGTCTTGCATGCATTGTTGAGATACAATGACTAAGTTAGTGGGTCTGATCTCCATTTACGGTAGATGCCTGTTTCGACACGCATGGGGTATTAGCCCAAAACCTCACGGATCCATATTACTTTATGGTCATAGAACAAAATATGTTCGTAAACATACAATAATCTGCCTCAAATTGACCCTGTTTCAAGAACAAGACTTCTGTCAATAATTGTTTCATCTACATTTGTATTTCGGTGATTGTTATGTTTTCATAGGAAATATCAAGGGAACGAACGTAAAAACATACTAGTAGTTAACTCACCGCTTAATGCAACGATCTCCCCTCCAAACCCGCCTGGAAATCCTGGACACTTGGAACGCACTTTGTCGCCAACCTTGTACAAATGGTATTCCTTCCTTGGCATCACAATTGAACTTAAGGGCACATCAACCGTTGTATTGTCCTCGAAGTCCACCAGGGCAAATACTTTGGTACTCATTTCGAAGATCTGCCTTGGTAATACACGTGCTTGTATACGGAGAAGAAATGGCGCATGAAGCTTGAGAGTTTTCGCGCTTCTTGCGTGTCACTATTTGTACGGGCGCCCATTAAGGCCACATATGTAATGTGCCATAGCATGTTTAAAAAACTATCTTGAAAAATATGAAATAGCTCAAAATGACACATTGGTATTCAACATTTTGAATAACCAAATACCGTCATTTATATTCAGGTTGGTTTTGAAAATGCAAGAAAAAATCACATTAGATTCCTCAAAGGTGTCTTCTTATTTACAAAGTATGTGTCGTTTGCATGCAGACATGAAATATATTTGATGTCATAAATCTTTATCATAGCCTTTATTAATATGTGTAGATTTTCACTATGGACAAGATTAGAGTTGATGCTGTCGGGCGTACGATACAACTCAAATGAATCGTACGATAAGGCTCGATGACGTGACCATCGAATAAAAAAAACATGAAACGTTTCTAACAGAATCATCATCTGGTAAATCCTTTCTTCATTATACACGTTGTCCTCACATATGTGGAACGTTGCACACTGCGACATTGAACAAGCAGAAGGTATAATCACATCATGCCACACTAACATAACTTTAGTCGCTTTGACTTTGTTACATTATAAAGACACTGTAATAATATGCTATAATAACGATAATAATATTCTTACATGGTGCAAAACTCAATACAAGAATCGCATATGCTCAAATTGCTTCTCATTACTACTCGGATCGATGCATCGGTGTGCAATCAATTTATTTCATTCCCAGGGAGTATAGAAACCAATCTGTATATTTCCGAGCAGGTGTCGGATAGTAAAAGTGTAGCAATGCATAACTACATGTACTTACATTTTCACAGCTTGACCGATGGGATAATTTTTATATTCTTTTAACCATTATAAACTCAGAAATGGGCTTCCATACATAGCAGTGGTCAACGTCAAACTAAATTGGCCTTGACGCGCATCCTGCTTGCTTCAAACGCTTGAGAAGAAGGCTGCTGAAGAAGAAACTCTGCACCATTTTGCCTTGTTTTCCTGCATTTCACATTTTGATTAATCGGAGAGGATAGAGAAATTTTAACGTTTGTTTGTTGTTAAACGCCGCACTCGGCAATATATTCCACCTAACAACGACATCTTTGACGAAGGCACTGAACTGCATGGAATGGACGAGGACGGTGAGTACAGTTCTATTACAAAGCACAAATTATTTATTTGGTCGGGTTCTGCCATTATTTGAGCAAGTAGTTGTGAAATATGCAGTTAGTGTATGACCACTTATGCAGCTAACACTCCTTTGACATCCAGTGAAAGAATTCACGTTTCATACCACTTTAAAATACACAGTTGCTACAAGTAAATTTCACATCAGAGAAAATATACCGGTGTCCTAGGCATGCATGCTCATGAACCTTGACACATTTATTTTATTAATTTGTCACTAATTACAAAAATATAAAACACGAAATATACTTTGCAACGTATTGACGTTACTTTGTGTGTTCGTCTTGTATACAAAGAAGGAAACGGCAATCGGCGATTCAACGCACATTTATCCCAAGTTACCGGTGTCTCAATTGAAAAGTAGCTAATATAACTGTAAACACATTTCAAACGAATATTGCCCGAAAATAATATCTCAAGTATTTTGTTACTAGGACCAGTTCATCCCAATATCGATTTCGTTCAGTTGCAACTTCTGCTATAAAGTAACGATAATCAAACGCGGGAAATGGGGTAGCACTTTGGCCTACTGCCGGATACTTTTTACATTCGGTTACAGTTTGACGAGTCACCGCTAAGGATTCCCGCGAAATAAACGGGGCGTTGGCATTTAATAGTCAAGCTACGAAAATAAGCCCTTTTCTCGCTCAAAGTATGACAGTTATGACACGTGTATCACAGGCACCCACTGCGGGTCAGAAAATCGATAAACTAAGCCCTGGTTTACTATCCAGCCCCCCTACAATATAACATGTAAAGGTTCATCACAGAAATACGGTGACATGATCGAAAACCGGACAATTACGCACACGTCAATGAATATATCGTATTTTAAAGGTTTCACAAGTATCAAAAACTCTTGTCAATATCTCCAATGTGTGTAGGGGGCATATACATGCGCTTTCCGTGGGGATGCATTTGATGGGTTTTATTAAATCGTCAAAGACCGAGAAGCTGTGCCGGAAGTATACAAAAATAGGTCGTCAGCGCAATCAAATTGGTTAATAAAATGACAACAAATGCACGTGAGACATGTTATATAGTAGGGGGGCTGGATAGTAAACCAGGGCTTAGTTTATCGATTTTCTGACCCGCAGTGGGGGCCTATGGAAAAAATGTAACCATAATTTGACTGAAATAATTAAACCAGACATATATTATGAGTCAATATATCAATTGTACACCCCTTATTGACAGATAGATGTAGTAGTGTATCAACAGAATGAACTTGCATAATGCAGTAAGAAGGATTCAGTGGTATATTATTATCGAAGACTAAGATGTAATCGTATTGGAGAAAAATGTAATTTTATTGACCTGTTATAATTTATGGCTGGGGGTGGCTGTGTGAAGCATGTAAAATGTGAATCCACCCACCCAATTTATGTACCCCCGCCATGTCACATACTAAATCAATAAGCCCCTCCCAACCCCGAATTTTGAAGCATAGGCCGCGCCTACCATTTTAGTATTTGATAGTACACAATGTGCTGTCTCCCTCAACCTCCCAGATAAAAAAACTCATAAAGTCATCATCATCCCCCAAAAAAACCCCACCAACAACAACAAAAATATAAGTAAATAAGTAGTAAAATACTACTACTACTAAAAAAATATGAACGGTCCCTTATGTGACTGCCTGACTGACTGAGTTTAGTTTTACGCCGCTTTTAGCAATATTCCAGCAATATCACGGCGGGGGACACCAGAAATGGGCTTAACACATTGTGCCCATGTGGGGAATCGAACCCGGGTCTTCGGCGTGACGAGCCAACGCTTTAACCACTAGGCTACCCCACCACCCTCCCTTATGTGAGCTCATGGATGACTTGGAACAGTAGCATAGTGTAGAGAAGCGGGCTTTTTAGTTATGTTCTTGTTTGTTTAAGAAGTGTAATTTAAATTAAACTAGGACATATTGGGGAGGGTAGGTGTGGTGTGTGTATATGAAGTAGTCTCCCATAAGTGAACAATACAATTTTTAAGGACAACTTAAAGTATATTTGTGATGAATATTTATCTCCTTATTGTAATTAAAGTGTTGTTTCCATGTTATTATTACATTCATTTTATGTATTTCAGAGAATTTCCACAAAGAAGACTGTTTCACAGTGACTTCAGTTAATGGCCAAAAAACGTACATCTGCCAAATATGTGGCAAGATGCTATCAAGGAAACAACGCATACTGACCCACTTGAACAGTCGTCATAAGAAAAGTAAGTTTTCGGGTGTCCACAAGGTTTTTGTTTATTGGTTCTTGGAAAGATTGTTTTCCCATGCTTATTGTAAGAACCCACCAAAAGAGAGTTACCTTGGATAAATCTATAGCTAACCTAGCCTTTCATTGAAATCACATAATATCCCTATGTGTTGCTAACATTATTCTAATAATTTTAGTGTTCATCCCATAGCCTCTTGATCTGATAATGTTCTGTTGGAATGTGGCCATAACCACTGGTGTGACAATAAATATTAAATCTTACCTAACAACATTTTCTTCAAATGACATACCGCCGTGATGTTGCTGGAATATTGCTGAAAGCTGCGTAAAACCAAACTCAGTCAGTCAGTCAAATGACATACATATCCTGAAGGTCCGGGTTAGAATTGATCTTCAGTAACCCATGCCTGTCGTAAGGGGCGACTAACGAGATTGGTGGTCAGACTCACTGACTTGGCAGACACATGTCATCGGTTCCCAATTGTGCAGATTGATATTCATGCTGTTGATCACTGGATTGTCTGGTCCAGACTTGATTATTTACAGACCGCCGCCATTTAGCTGGAATATTGCTGAGTGCGACGAAAAACTAAACTCACTCACTCACACAAATGACATGCAGACAATATGTACTTTTGAAGACCTATATCTTATAACTTTTACAATTTGTTTGTAGGTCCATTAAAGAGGGTTTATAACCGATATAAATCTGATTCAACAGTACCAGTCCCAAAGCGCACCATAATGCGTCATCAAGATTCTGAAAGGGAAGATGAAACTTTGATACCTGATGCACCATCATTGCCAGTCTATCTGCCTGAGACGGAAACACATGTCAGTTCCTGTGAAGCTTCAACTTCAACCTGCAATTATTCACTTGGTAATATTCCCTTTAACATGCAAGACCTGGAAACCACAGATACAGGCAGTGAGTTTGATCAGAATAGTAGTTCTAGTAGTCACAATAGCTCAGATGATGAAGATGACACCAGTGATGATGAAGAGGAGGATGACCATACTGATACTGAAATTTGTGAAGCTATTGCAGATGATGATGTTTCTCAGCCACAAACATCAAACAGCTTTTCTCCACAAGAGATTAATATGTTGTGCATGGTATCATATTTACTCAGATTCAATGTCAGTGGTTGTCAAGCAAAGGCTCTGATGGATTTATTGTCCATTTTGTGTCCACAATCAAGCAATATTCAGACACTCACTTTGAGTGATGTATTGGCTTATGGCGACATTTCTAAAATCAAATCTAAACATTACTGTTCATTATGCAGTAATGTATTTCCAGATAGATGGCTGCCAAGGATATCGATATAAAGGTCCACTTTCATTCCAAACTAGATCATGAAGAGAACCCAGAAATGTCTTTGTTATGGGAGATACAGCAGTACAGTTAAAATATCTCCTGGAAAAGAAAGGTGTATGGGATGGAATTGAAAGAGTAAAGTCAAGCCATTCTACTGATTTTACAGATGTAGTTGATGGCGAGAGCTACAGAGCACTTTGTGAAGAAGGCATGTTCCTTGCAAATCCACACAATATCAGCACAGTTTTTAATACTGATGGAGTTCCCCTCTACAGCTCATCCAAAGGGAAGCTCTGGCCAATACTTTTGGCCATCAATGAATTGCCTCCATCCCAAAGATTTGCAAGAGAAAATATCGTGATAGCAGGAATTTGGCAAGGCAAAGGTAATCCACCATTTGAACAGTATCTATATGCATTTGGTGAGGAAATGTAAAGACTTGTATGAGAATGGGATATCAATCCAACCTTCTACTGCTTGTGAACCCTTTGTTGTGAAAATGGCAGTTTTACTTGCAACTATGGATCTTCAAGCCAAAGCATACGTTTTAAATATGACAATGCATAATGGCAGCTTTGGATGCAGTACATGTGAAGAAGAAGGGGAAACTGTGGCTCATGGAAAAGGGTATGCTCGTCATTATCCCTACAAACCACATTTTGAAAGACCTGCTAGTAGACAGTCTGATGATATCAAATATCTGAAAGGACCACAAGCAACTAGAACTAATCGCATTAAGGGTATTTGTGGCATGACAGGCCTGTCATCTATGCCATGGTTTGATGTTGTGGATGGAGTAGTGCCAGACTACATGCATGGAGTCCTCTTAGGAGTTACTAAGAAACTATTGTACATGTGGTTGTCTCCAACGAGTGACAGAAAACCCTATTTTGTGGGAAAAGATATTTCTACTATTTCTAAAAGGCTGAAAAATATTTGCCCACCAGATTATGTCGAGCGCCTGCCAAGAGACCTCGAGAAGAATTACAGTCATCTAAAAGCATCAGAACTCCAGGCATGGTTGTTATTTTATTCAATTCCATGTTTGAATGGTATTTTGGATGCTGTGTATTTGGAGCACTTTACTCATCTGTCTGAGGGAATATACATTCTCCTTGGAGACAGGATTACGCAGCAAGATCTGGAGAGAGCAGAGTCACTGCTTGAACATTTTTACTCGAAGTTTGGAGAACTCTATGGAGAAGGTAGCTGTGGATTAAATGTTCATAACATTGGTGTTCATCTGGTGACTTTTGTTAGAAAATGGGGACCGTTGTGGTGTTGGAGCTGCTTCCCATTTGAGGACATGAATGCTGACATTTTGAAGGCAGTACATGGCACAGGAGATGTGACCAGTCAGTATCTCCACTTGAAAGAACTACGAATGAAAATTTGTAACATAAATCTGGATGGTGTTGACCAACAGAGGACTGATTTCATTTACAATATGAAAGATGGAACCAACAAGTGTTGGAAAGGTTTAAAGAAAATGAAAAATTGCCAAATAGCAGGACAGCCAAAGCCTTTGTCCAATATCACAGCAAATACACAGATAGAGATTTTGCGAAACACAGATACCCAAGACTTGTCAAGTTTAAGGAAACTGCAGAGAGTTTTGGTTAACCAGCAAAAGCTATACTCACAAGAGTATACACGCATGAAGAAAAGGGTGTGCTATGCTGTTCGATGTCACAATGGCATCATTGCAAAAATATTGTTTTTTATTCTCAATGTTACAAGTGAAAATGTGTTTGCTGTTGTCAAGAAAATGACTTTGGCCCAGAATTGCTTTTTGTTTGAAACCTGTGGATTTCATTTGATGAATGTTGAAGACACTGATGATGTGATTCAAGTTGTTCCTGTTGATGACATCATGGAAAAAGTGTTTTTGATAAACATTGATGATGTTTCATATGTGGCAATGATGCCAAATATTATTGGTCATGGCGTTTTCAAATGAAATGCAAAATTGTTGTGATGTGAAGTTGTAGTGACAGTTGTAGGCACAATGTTGGTTGAATGCATAAATGCTTAGTTGGATTTAGTGGCAAGAATAAGAGGTCCTAACTGATGTTGCCCTCTTTAGTAGATCAATTCATATGTTTTTAGTTTGTTCAAATGTTACTGATGAACAGTTATTAACTGTTACCAGACGTTGTTCTTGTGCTTATGGATGTGCCAGTATTGTTTTGCCTGAGTACTAGATATATATTTTGTGGCTCATTGAAAGAACAATTGAACAAATATGTCATTTTGCTTTCATGTCAATCCAGGTGTAATATTATTAGCATATTAGATAATTAAAAACATATTAAATGCTATATTTATTTTAATATGTGTTATGGATCACTAGTAAATAGAAAAGAAGACTATGTTTAGATATATATATATATCTTTAGCAATATTCATACAGTTTTAGACCAGATGGCCCTCTTCCACAAAGCCATTCACTAAAACACATTATATTTTCATGTTTCTCTAAGTGAGATGTTCAACTCAAGTTTTTAAGCAATTCAAGGACAAGGATGATGTAAGGTATGTTTGAAGTTATATGAGGTCAGCATACTAATTCCTTGTGATAATAACTTTCATCTGCCACTTACATGTTCTTGAAGGCATTTTAACAATGCTATTTATGCAGTATTATTGCTACTCATTAAATGTTTGGCTTGGATTATTTTAGGTAATATTTACTATAAATGTCAACATGATGTTCTTTTGGCCACACACACAAATAAATTCTATTGATTTAATATTCCCATAATTTGTCATTCTTATGCCATAAGTAGATGTGAACAGTCAGGATTTCACTGGCAATTTGTATCACAGTTTATATGGCTCAAGTTACAGCCAAGTAAAAATGACCATGGTCTACCATGGCTAAGTCTGAGATGACCATGGTCTAACATGTCTATGCCTGAGATGACCATGGTCTGCTGGAGATGACCATGGTCTACCATGGCTAAGTCTGAGATGACCATGGTCTACCATGGCTAAGTCTGAGATGACCATGGTCTACCATGGCTATGTCTGAGATGACCATGGTCTACCATGGTCAACCATGGTTTCTGATGACCATGGTCTCAAGTGACTCAAGTGACCATGGAAAGTAATTGCCTCATGGTTTAGCATGGAATACCATGGTAAAACCATGGTATTCCGTGGTAAACCATGGTGACCATGGTTTACCATGGTGCACATTTCAGCTGGGTGGGCCTAGCGCACAGGATGGCGCGAGTGGGTGAGGGAGGGAGGGGAGGAGGAAGGGGAGGCAGATTCCCCCATGGTCACTCCCTAAATGGCCTAATCAACCATAACAAGAATAAAGATTGTTTGACCAAATTCCAAGTGCAGTTTTGAGTTTTGAGCAACTTGAACTCTTATTTACAGCACTACAAACTGTGTGTGAAATAGTCACTGGCCTGCTTGCCTGTGGCTAGTAAAAATGAAATTCACATTTTACAAGGTACAAATACCTTCTACATCTCAAGGATAGGTTAGGGTTATGTTAGGTTAAGGTTGGGGTTAGGTACTTGATACAGGATATGTCCTTCGGAATCAGGTACAGCTTTTCTTTCATTTCATCGGGACCTATATGAATGGTAATGGTGATCATGAACGGTGATAACTGTATGCCCATTATCGGACATAAGTGACTAATAAATTAGAGCCTTATCCTATTGACAGCTATGTTTGTGTGTGACAGATTAAATTAAGTACCTTATTGTTCGGGTGAATTCTAGGCAAACATAATTTACCGCTATTATGGGTGGAACCCTGTTCCTGTAGAGACTCGTGCGTTTGAGATGAGTCTGCAATGAAAATCAATTCACTCAATTCGCCTGAGAGAGGTTGTGGATACATTATCACCAATGACGATAACGTACATGAACCTAACACTATTTGTTTTCTTTTTCTTTTTGATTTCATATTATACTGAATATCTGACTTGATATGTTTGGTATCATTATGTACTTCTGTGGCATGTAAGATTCATACAGATAATATTCAGGATACAACTATATACAGAAATTACATGCAGGATAAAATTAGATACGTGAATAACATCCACCATAGATGTTGATATACAAATAACATCAAGGATACATCCTTATACACGAATAACACACTAGATACGTCTGATAGATGGATACATTGTGATACAGAAACAACCTACTGGATACATCTGGACGCGCGGAGATTATGCTGAATACATAGGGATACACGGATAACATCCTGGATACATGCAGCTACACGACAAACATACGGATTACATCGGGATACCCGGATAACATCCAGGATACATGCAGCTACACGACCAACATACTGAATACATCGGGATACACGGACACCATCCAGGATACATGCAGCTACACGACCAACATAATCAATACATCCGGATACACGGATAACATCTAGGATACATGCAGCTACACGACCAACATGCTAAATACATCGGGATACACAGATAATATTGAGGATACATGCAGCTACACAACCAACATACTGAATACATCGGGATACGCGGAAAACATCCAGGATACATGCAGCTACACGACCAACATACTGAATACACCGGTATACACGGATAACATCCCGGATACATGCAGCTACACGACCAACATACTGAATACACCGGTATACACGGATAACATCCAGGATACATGCAGCTACACGACCAACATATTGAATACATAGGGATACAAGCATAACATTTAGGATACATACAGATACACGACCAAAATACTGAATACATCGGGATACACGGATAACATCCAGGATACATGCAGCTACATGACCAACATACTGAATACACCGGGATACATGGATAACATCAAGGATACATACAGTTACACGACAAACACACTAAATACATCCGGATACACGGATAACATCCAGGATACATGCAGCTACACGACCAACATGCTAAATACATCCGGATACACAGATAATATTGAGGATACATGCAGCTACACAACCAAGATACTGAATACATCGGGATATGCGGAAAACATCCAGGATACATGCAGCTACATGACCAACATACTGAATACACCAGTATACACGGATAACATCCAGGATACATGCAGCTACACGACCAACATACTGAATACATCGGGATACGCGGAAAACATCCAGGATACATGCAGCTACACGACCAACATACGGAATACATCGGAACACACGGATAACATCCAGGATACATGCAGCTACACGACCAACATACTGAATACATCGGGATACAGGGATAATATCCAGGATACATGCAGCTACACGACCAACATATTGAATATATCGGGATACGCGGAAAACATCCAGGATACATGCAGCTACACGACCAACATACTGAATACACCGGGATACACGGATAACATCCAGGATCCATGCAGCTACACGACCAACATATTGAATACATAGGGATACAAGCATAACATCCCGGATACATACAGATACACGAACAACATACTGAATACACCGCGATACACGGATAACATCCAGGATACATGCAGCTACACGACCAACATACTGAATACACCGGGATACACGGATAACATCCAGGATACATGCAGCTACACGACCAACATATTGAATACAAAGGGATACACGCATAACATCCACGATACATACAGCTACACGACCAAAATACTGAATACATCGGGATACACGGATAACATCGACGAAACATGCAGCTACACGACCACCATACGCAATACATCTGGATACGCGGATAACATCTAGGATACATGCAGCTACACGACAAACACACTAAATACATCCGGATACACGGATAACATCCAGGATACATGCAGCTACACGACCAACATGCTAAATACATCCGGATACACAGATAATATTGAGGATACATGCAGCTACACAACCAAGATACTGAATACATCGGGATATGCGGAAAACATCCAGGATACATGCAGCTACATGACCAACATACTGAATACACCGGTATACACGGATAACATCCCGGATACATGCAGCTACACGACCAACATACTGAATACACCAGTATACAAGGATAACATCCAGGATACATGCAGCTACACGACCAACATACTGAATACATCGGGATACGCGGAAAACATCCAGGATTAATGCAGCTACACGACCAACATACGGAATACATCGGGACACACGGATAACATCCAGGATACATGCAGCTACACGACCAACATACTGAATACATCGGGATACAGGGATAACATCCAGGATACATGCAGCTACACGACCAACATACTGAATACATCGGGATACGCGGAAAACATCCAGGATACATGCAGCTACACGACCAACATACTGAATACACCGGGATACACGGATAACATCCAGGATACATGCAGCTACACGACCAACATATTGAATACATAGGGATACAAGCATAACATTTAGGATACATACAGATACACGAACAACATACTGAATACACCGCGATACACGGATAACATCCAGGATACATGCAGCTACACGAACAACATACTGAATACACCGGGATACACGGATAACATCCAGGATACATGCAGCTACACGACCAACATATTGAATACATAGGGATACAAGCATAACATTTAGGATACATACAGATACACGAACAACATACTGAATACACCGCGATACACGGATAACATCCAGGATACATGCAGCTACACGACCAACATATTGAATACAAAGGGATACAAGCATAACATCCACGATACATACAGCTACACGACCAAAATACTGAATACATCGGCATACACGGATAACATCCACGAAACATGCAGCTACACGACCACCATACGGAATACATCTGGATACGTGGATAACATCTAGGATACATGCAGCTACACGACAAACACACTAAATACATCCGGATACACGGATAACATCCAGGATACATGCAGCTACACGACCAACATGCTAAATACATCCGGATACACAGATAATATTGAGGATACATGCAGCTACACAACCAAGATACTGAATACACCGGTATACACGGATAACATCCCGGATACATGCAGCTACACGACCAACATACTGAATACACCAGTATACACGGATAACATCCAGGATACATGCAGCTACACGACCAACATACTGAATACATCGGGATACGCGGAAAACATCCCAGATACATGCAGCTACACGACCAACATACGGAATACATCGGGACACACGGATAACATCCAGGATACAAGCAGCTACACGACCAACATACTGAATACATCGGGATACAGGGATAACATCCAGGATACATGCAGCTACACGACCAACATACTGAATACATCGGGATACGCGGAAAACATCCAGGATACATGCAGCTACACGACCAACATACTGAATACACCGGGATACACGGATAACATCCAGGATACATGCAGCTACACGACCAACATATTGAATACATAGGGATACAAGCATAACATTTAGGATACATACAGATACACGACCAAAATACTGAATACATCGGGATACACGGATAACATCCAGGATACATGCAGCTACATGACCAACATACTGAATACACCGGGATACATGGATAACATCCAGGATACATGCAGTTACACGACCAACATACTGAATACACCGGGATACACGGATAACATCTAGTATACTTGCAGCTACATGACCAACATACTGAATACATCGGGATACACGGATAACATCCAGGATACATGCAGCTACACGACCAACATACTGAATACATCGGGATACGCGGAAAACATCCAGGATACATACAGTTACACGACCAACATACTGAATA